GTAGTAGTAGTAGTAGTAGTAGCCGTAGTAGTAGTAGTACTACTACTACTACTACTACTACTACTACTACTACTACTACTACTACTAGTGGTAGTAGTAGGGTAGTAGTAGCGATAGTAGCAGCAGCGATGACAATACAGTAGTCGTAGTAGCAGTGGCAGCAGCGGGCGTCGTCGTTGTGGCTGTCGTCCTCCTTGCCTTGACGTCGTCGTCGTCGTTGACGTCGCTATAGTCCTCGCAGTCGTCGTAGTCGTCGTTGTCGCCACAGCCGTCGTAGCCGGACTCGTCGTCGTAGCTAGTCGTCCTAGTCGTCGTAGCCGTTGTCTTCGTAGTCGTCTTCGTCGTAGCCTGTGTAGCCGCCGTGGTAGTAGTCGTAGTTGTCGCAGTCGTCGTAGTTATCGTAGTAGGCGTCGCGTAGTGGTCGTAGTGGTCGTGTGCTCTTAGAATATGCAAAGGGCTGGAAGGCCTGAAATCTCCAGCTACGAGCCAGCCCGAACCGCGCACAAAAAACGGTCCATCGACTCCGACTGGATCATGCCGAAAGTGTTCTCCAACCTGCCAAAACATTTCTGCATTGGGGCTCGGGCTCCAGAAACATGGGGGGCTTTGAGTTTGAGTCTTCGCTCGTGTTTCGGTGCCTTCTTCTCGGCTTCCGGGCTCAGGCAGATGTAACATGTTCAAAGTTAAGTCTCCAGCTGGGATAAAGATTGATAAAGGGCCTGTCGGCACTGCATGTGGCAGGGTTCTGTTGGACCTCATGGGATGGCGAACGGCTGTGAAGCCAGTTTTTCGGATTTGAGCTGTTGGGCGCTTGGGTGGGCTAACTTACACTGAGAAGCTTAGATAGCCGTGCGCGTTAGAGCTTCAGATGCTTACAACTTTCCACGGGTTGCGTTGGAATGCGGCTGGGAGACGGAAGGCTTCGAGATGTAACTTTTCTCCTGCTCAGCCTTTGGGCTCTGCTTGGGAGCCAAGAACCTCGAGGCCCTAGAGAGAAGGCACCAAGCTCCAGCCGTAGCAAAACAGATAAGAACAAGATACGCACGAACATCAAGCAAACAAAAACCTGAACCTGTAGCATGATTTCACTCCAGACCCATCCAGACCGAACGCTTCATGCTTCAGGGGCACAACTCGAGAGTGCATGGGAGGTTCTGCAGCGTCTTGTGCTCTTCATGGTGCCTCTGGTGCCTCAGAGGCTTCAGAGCTACTGATTTCTGGATCGTCGGGGCTTCGAGTGTGCTTGCATGGCCATGGCTTGTGGGCGTGCTGTCCGAACCCGGCGTCTTTGTTTAGGTCTTTGGAGCGCTTACCCTTCGATAACAACCGGTAGCCTCACCCAGAACAAGGAACTTTAGGTGTCATGGGGACTATCCGACGCACCCACTCCACCAACACACAAAGTAGCAGCAAGCGGGATGCACGGGAGCTGTTCTGATAAGACAGATCTCACAAAACTAGCAGGGAAGCCCAAACCCAAACGCGCACGCATAAAACCTTCCAGGACCAAGAAGAATTTGCGTATCTGCTGTTCTACTTGCCTCTCAGAACCACCTGACCCCGGAACCGGAACCCTTGCAGTTCAGAGCAACTGAGGCTTCGAGTTGAGGACGTATTTTCCCAAAGGTGTCTCAAGACATGCGCCGGGCGGCTGCTGGTGCATCTGCTGATACGAGGCCGCCATCGCCTGAGCGGCTTTGGGATTGAGGGGCTCAAACTAAAAGCCGCGGTGAGGGGGGGCCCTGTATCTTCGAAAACACACCTGCTGGGTTTAGCTGATCTACGAACTTAGGCCTGTTTTGATTTCGAACAATAGCTCAATTCTACACCTGCTCGGGACAAGACTATTCACGGGGCTCCTTGACCCCTGAACGATCTCTGCTTTCCAGCCTCCAAAATAGGATTCGAGCTTGGAGAATTCACCAGTGTTTCGAATACCTGAAGCGTCTGGTGCTTCATAAATCTATGCCTGCACTTCGTACGCGAGGATCGCGAAACGTCTGGAGAAGTGGGGATGGGAGACCATCGGAGATGAGACCCCAACACGTGATTATTTGCTACCCGAAACCCCAAACCCCAAACTCCTCCAGTCCTTCACACTGGTCACTTATAAGCGATGGAGGCTTAGCGAATTAATCAGGGCATGCTTTTAGGGTCAATCAGCCGGAGCGCGAAATGAAATAGACCTCCCGCACGGCACGAGTGGAAGCTTGCCGTACCAGAGCCGAAACTGCATGTGTGCGAGTGCTGCTGGTCTTATCGATGCTCCTCCGTGACGAAGGACGACTTGATGATATGGGAAGTTTCTTTTGATGATGCATGCACGTATGACTTTCAAGTGATGTCGCTGGGTTCGTTCGGCAAAGGCTGTAGGGCCAGTGGAAAGCTGGCGATGTATACTTAACAGTAACAGTACAAGTTTGGGTTTGGGAGTTGGACACCCAGGAACTGGAATGAACGAAATCCGCGAGACCCTAGTTCATGGCATCGGAATCAGGAGGATACGATGCCGGAAAACATGGGGGCCCCTCGGTATCCTCTAGCCTCAGTGCAGACAAAATTCGGCAGGGATTTGGGATTTTGGATTGGGGCTCAGTCTTCGACCTGCAGCTTGGCCTGAAAATCTAGGAGGCAGAATAGGTTTGGTCGCAGATCCTCGCGACCCTTGCGAAGGAGGTCTTCCACTGCTCGCTGCACCTGCGAGCTGGCTTGGTGGATTCTGCTTGAAGGCAGGGGTTTGGCTCTTTAGCGACTCTTCTGACCTTGGTGGAGTCAGGCACCTCATCGAGCTAGTCTCGCCCTGTTTGCTTGCTGCACGACCGTCATCCTACATCACTGAGCAGAAATTGTGAACTCGCCGCTGAACCACAAACATGAACCCAGTCCATGTCTTGAGGATTTCAGAACCTCCGCCCACAGCTGCGAGGTAGCAGAGTAGCATTTGTTTGGTCTAGGAAGTACAGTAATTGGTAAATCAAGTCCGGGATGTGGAATTGTTGGCCGTGTCCTTCAAGCCCCATATGCCAAAGACTACGAAACGTACTCTCCCGACTCCCCATACCCCCAAGACAACAAATCCAAATCTCCCAGATCCCAACCGTTGTTTCCAAGAGCCCTGCCCACAAGCCCAAACCCTAAATCCAAAATGGCGAACTACAAAGGCAACAAACCCCCCCTTCACCCTAAACCCGTAACCCCTAAACCCAAACCCTAAGCTGCCGACAATCATGAGAGCACCTTTGGAACTGGTCGGACTTTTCGCCGCAAACTGCGAAGCTATCTGGTAATGCTCAAGGGCTCTAACAGCAGCGGAAAACAACAATCACATTCACAACTATGGTCATGACCGGCATGGCTGGACTGTAATTCAGACTCAACCTGTTCTCATGTTGTGATGTGGCAACACCTTACAAAGATTCACGAACTAACCAGTGGAGGTACGACATAGTTGTCATCATCACGGAAGTGGTGTCTGCAGCCTACTGTCTCCGGTGTATGGCCCATGCGTGCGAGAAGCATCATGCTGTCGCCTCTTCCCTTGCCCTCCGGGCTGGCGCTCTCCTCTGTAGGTAGAGCGGGGATCGACAGCACCAGCTACGTCCACAGGCGGGCGGCACATGATTAAGAATTTATTTGCCGAGCCCTGTTCCTCCTCAAGGGCAGGAACCTCCGTGCGGATAGGGGCATCGCGCAAAAGGATGCGAACGTTCCCCTGCTTAAACAGTAAGACTGTCTTAAGCCACAAGTTGAGCGAACGGTCATACTTGAAGCGGTTTGGCTGGGCGCCGCTACGGGGTCGCCACCAGAATCGCACATTGTGCAAGAGGGATCTCTCGTTTCCACCTCCGAGACCGATCGGGCCCTTCCAGCCATCCTTCTCCCTGTCCTCATAGCCTGCGTCTACGAGGTCCCGCTTGATGGTCCTAGCCAAATCCATCACGTCAGGGAAGGAGAGGTTCGCAGCCCAAGGCACGTCATCATCAGGATCGTCATCGATTCCTGGAACAATGTTGAGCGTCTCCTCGTTGATCGCCTCCATGGTGTCCAACCCGTGCATAAAGGAGGTACGGTGGTCTGCAGAGCCGGCGCTGCTGCGTCCAGGCGTCAGCGAGCGTTCGCCCATCTTTCCACGACGAGTAAAGCCACTGCGAGAGCGTGCGCGGTTAGAGATTCTCGAGGTGCAGCCGTCGTCACGGTCGCCAGAAGTCGATCTCCCTCGATGGGTAAATCGTTCACGCCTGTGCTCAGCGCCAGGGCTTGAGTGCGGAGTTCCACGAGGGTTACTCTTTGGGGTCCGGTAGTACCCCGACAAGTAGCCAGCATCTTGCTGCTCTTGGAACCAGACGTTCCACTCATCGGCGACGCACGCACGGCCATACAAAGTCTTGTTGTCCTTCTCGAGTTTCTTCTTGGCCAACTCCAGGGCCGTGACACGGTCCTTGAGCTCGGCGTTCTCGGCCTGCAACTTTTGGAGAAGTGCTTCTGCACGGATAGCACGATCTCGCCAGTCCAGGTCGTTGCCACGAGGTGGCACCCTCGATGGCCCCGAAGGGGGTCCACCGGAACCACCACCATCGCTGCCAGAACCAGAGCCACTGCGTCCAGGTGGGCCCCCAGAAGGTCTACGCGGCATTTGGTCCCCAGATGATTCGGGTGGTGGCGGAGGCGGGGGCGCACCACTCGAGTCACTCTGGGTGGCAACAGCATGCGATGGGTTGGTACGCGTATCGGCGGTACCATCCTTCGGCTGCTCGTTCGGCGTCGTGCTCCTCTTCACTGCCGGTGTCAAGGACCCACCAGAAAGATTTGGAGTACCACCACGGGGAGGCTCCTGAGAGGGTGCTCTCCGAAGCGGTGGCATGCTGTGCGAGGCTGGGTCCGGCAATACCAACCGGTCGGACTTTTCCCCACAAACTGCGAAGCTATCTGGTAATGCTCAAGGACCCTAACAGCAGCGCAAAACAACAATCACATTCACATCAATGGTCATGACAGGCACGGTTGGACTGTAATTCAGATGACCCAATCGGAATCCCCGTGAGGCGCCGACCTCCATGGCTGCGACCCGGGCAACTAAGTTTGGAGGATTCAAAGCCGGCTCGTCGCTCCTCGATACGATTCGACACAGCCTCTAGGAGCTATGATATGCTATCATGAGCGAGAAGATGCAACTCCTGCCATTGATGTCTGAGACCGATCGTGTTCTGCGAGCAGGAGCAGGAGCAGAAGCAGGAGAAGCAGGAGTAGAAGCACTAGCACTAGTACTAGCAGTAGCAGCAGTAGTAGCAGTAGTAGCAGTAGTAGCAGTAGCGGCAGGAGTGGGAGTAGAAGTAGCAGTAGCAGTAGCAGCAGTAGCAGTAGCAATAACAGTAGTACTACTAGCAGTAGCAGTAGAAGCAGTAGTGATAACAGTAGTACTAGTAGTAGTAGTAGTAGTAGTAGTAGTAGTAGTAGTGGTAGTAGTAGTAGTAGTAGTAGTGGTAGTAGTAGTAGTAGTAGTAGTAGTGGTAGAAGTAGCAGTAGCAGTAGTAGTAGTAGTAGCAGCAGCAGTAGTAGTAGTAATAGTAGTAGTCGTCGTAGCAGTACGAGTAGCAGTAGCAGTAGGATAATAATAAGAGTAGTAGTAGTAGTAGTAGTAGTAGTAGCAGCAGCAGTAGTAGTAGTAATAGTAGTAGTCGTCGTAGTAGTACGAGTAGCAGTAGCAGTAGGAT